GGACACACCAATTGGCCGCCTTCCGCACGACCAGGGCCGAGGACTGACCTGCAACTGAGTACGTGCCCTTGACTGGAATTGAACCCACGACTCTGATCTGTGGGCTGACGCTCTAACCACTGAGCAAAACCAGCCAGGGCTTGTGATGATTCTTAGATGAAAATTCAAATGTTCGACTAGAAACTTTAAACATTCCATTAAGGATACTTTCTTTGAAAAGCTGATAAAGGAACTTGGGATATGTAGCCTCCTGATTTTAAAGGCTATGGTTCAACAATAAACACTTAAAACGTATGCTCAAGAATCTCATATAGCCCTAGCCAGGTGGCTTGGCTGATCGGAGTGTTGTCCCATGCACCAAAAGGTTGTGGTTTCAATTCCTGGTCAGGGCACACACCTAGGTTGCGGGTTCAATCCACGGTTGGGACGGGAGGCAAGCAATCACTGTTTCTCCCATCGCTGTTTCTCTCCCTTTCTCTCTAAAAAAAATCAGTAACAACATAACCTCAGATTATTTTTTAAAAGGATCATATAGTCAGCATCACAGTAGAGAAGACCCCCCCCCCTTTGAATCTCCCCTGAAATCTACACCTATTTGGACATCTATAACCTAACAAAGGTTTCTCTACTCAACCCACTAGCACACCCAAGAGGCCCACACATCAGTACACGGGAGTCAGGGTGGGGGAAGGAGAGGGACAGGGCCCGTAGACCTGGTTCCCTGCCGCTGTGGCTGAGCCTGCAGCCCAGCTAACGTGGTGGAGGCAGAGGAGTTGGGGTGTAAGTCCCACACTATGGCCCAGGGAGGATAAAGGGCAACAACAGCACTGGTGTCTGAAAATCTGGCTCCCTCCCTCGCTTGCGGTGGAGCCCAGTAGCAACAGCAGAGATGCATCATCGCTTCTGACCACAGGGACCCAGGAAACTGCGCCGAGGCTCACAAGCCTGGCGGCCGCCCACTCACCTTATCCTCCCCAGTGGTGGTGCTCTGAGACTCAGGCACAGCAGGGGCAAATAGCACAGGTAAGAAAACAAAACTTGTGCTACAAACAGCATATCCACTGAAAGAAAAGGAAAGACCTCTAAGTATCGTCCTGAAACAAGAAAGGTGCTCATTACTTCAGGTGCACAACCCATCAATCATGTGAACCACCACAGTGACACGGGAACACAAAGAAAATGACAGTTCTTCAGAAATCAATCAAAGTCATGGGAGACTGTGAGCTAAATGACAGAGCATTCAAAATCGCAGTTATGAAAACAATGAGATCCAAGAAACTTAGTTTAAGGAGTTCAGGATAAAATTAATGAACAGGAGTACTTTACCAAAGAGGCTGCGAGTAAAGAACCACATTCTGGAGCCGAAGAATTCAGTAAATGAGATGAAGAATGCATTCGAAAGCTTTGGGAATAGAACAGACAATATGGAAGAGAATGAACTAAACCATTCATTCTAAACGCTCCGACACCTTGCATTCATTTTGTACAGTATGAAAACCTGCTATACTGAATAACAAACACTTCACACATCAGTCACCAAACACTTGGAGAACAGAGGCCATGTTTTGGATTTTTAATACCTTTATTACATTCAGTGCAGTGCTCTGCACAAAATAGGAACTTGGATATTGCTTACCACATAACTTCAGCATAAACAGATTATTTTCAGTATAATTTCTCTTAATGATAGCTAAAAAGGAAACACATAATAATTAAACCACCAAGTTACTTGTTCAACAACCACTCATTGATGGCCCAATTTACACTAGCCCCATTGCTGAGCACAAGAGACAAGATGGAGACCTGTGCCCCCGCCCCCACACCTGTCAGCTCACCCCCAAGTATGGTCATTCCACCACGGACCTTTGGGACCTTCCAAAGGACAGGTAGCAAGCAAGGAATCGCTCAGACTAAGTCTTGCACAAATCTGTACAACCTTGTTTCAAATGTATGCTGACACTATGATGTTTAATATCCACATTTATTTAAAAACATTACTGAATGCATATCAGTAGCTATTAGTCATTATGTATTTTCCTAAGCAAGGAGGTACTGATTGGGAGGAGATTTAAACAAAATATTTATACATTTTAAAAAGTATACATGAAAACATTATAAACCTCTGATGTGAAAGTTTTAAGAAAATTGAAAGCTTTAAGAGCCAAAAGCATTTTGGAAAAAGAGACTGTTATAGGAATCTTCAAAGAATTATTAGCACCTCTAAGCCTGTATGTCAGGTACAAATATATTTCCCAGGTTTGTAAAGGACGTAAAATATTTACTTATTTTATATTGAGAATCATTATGAACCATCACATTTACAGAGTAAAATACTGACCAGGAACCAGATTTTTTCTCATTAAGCTAAGACTTCCCACAACTTTCTCTCTGAGAACCTTTACCCCCAAGCAGAGATGACCCCCCACGACCGAAAAGAGGCCTAGAGCCCAATGGGCTGCTACATGCTCAACAATTCTTTGAAGTCTCCTGTTTTATCTTTAAAATTTTGCATTCCATTCCATAATATATCTAATTACTTATTTAAAATGTGATCTAAATTACTGAACTGTTTCCTCAAAATTTTCTAGAAAATTAATGTTCAAGGAATATAGGTCATATTTAAAAAGCAGTATAAACAGTGATCCCCACATATACTAACAAAAAAAGTTCAATGGGTTTATTATGTGTATTAGGCAGGACATGAGAGCAACACTGAGGAGTCTCCCCCTGAGAATGGAGATCAGACAATCCTTTGAATGTCAGTAAGGAACACAGTGGATCAGAGCAGAAGCAATCAATCAGACACAGGCAGATGGAGCCCAGGTCAGTTCAGAGGAGACAAGGCTGAAGGTACTGACATATCTACTGGAAGTGCCAATCAGAAGCTGATGTGGAGAAGCAGCTACTGGCAGAGAACCTCTAGCATCGTCCATGGGAAGAGGGAACCCTGCTCCATAAACATGAATGTCAGCAGGTATGGCCCCATAGGGAGATGGATGCATGAGGCAACTTGTTTCCCTTGCTCAGAATCCATGCTCACCAAGTAACCGGCTGATCACAATCTGGCTTTCCAAGAAGATCTGCCTAAAGGGAGAGAATGATTGATAGTTATATTTCCCATTGTAAATTTAAATAGCAACACTTGATCTTTATCAGACTCTGGATGCATCCAATTTGCCAAGGTGATGCCACACACATAAGTGGCCAGTTGACTTTCCCCAGGAACACTCAGCTTTGTTACAGTCAGCCTTCTGCACCCTCACTGTCCAATATGGTAGCCCCATGTGGATATCGGGCACTTGAAATGTGGCTAGTATGAATTGAGATGCACTGTGAGTATAAAATACATACCACATTTCAAAGACATTGTACCAAACAAAAAGAATTTAAACATCTCAATTGCTATTTATAATGACTACATATTGAAATAAAGTATGTATACTACATTGGAATAAATTATATTTTCCTTTTTAAATGTGGCTACTAGTAAATTGAAAATCACTTATGTGGCTCACATATATTTCTATTGGGCATCACTCTTCTATGCCAATAATGACAATGTGTTTGATTTTAAAGTCCGCACTGCATCCCTGCTAATGAATTGGACCTGGGAAGATACAGAAGAGGTCCTTTCTTATTACTTTAAAAAGGTCAATCAATACAAGTAGTACTGCAGTACTTGCACGAGGTGTTGAGTCTTACACAATTTCCAACTGTGGGGTCAAGAAGTCTGGGCTTGAAGCTGACCTCTGAGCAATCTTTGTAACCAGCCCTCAGCCTGCTCGTGGTGAGGTGCAGGTCACCCCACAGGATTGTGCCTGCACCCAGCTCTGCCTGAATACATATCTGATGAGTGAACACTATGGCCAAGAAGCTACATCTCTGATTTCCTAGTAATTTAGTATTATAGTTTCCAAAGGATTAATTATAAGGTAAATATCAAAGATAAAATGTGAAAAGATAGGTTTTTATTTATCAAAAGTTAACAGCAACAGGCACATATTAAAATGAGTATGGCAAAGCCTTTTACAAATGGCTTTACACTCAAGCTTTCTCCCAAGAAAATGGCTGTTGCAACAAACTGTAAACATAATTGATAAACAGTCTTTTACAGTAACAAGGGAAATACAATTGAACTAAAAGAAAGCACTGGTTTCTCTGAAAACTAGATTACAGTTGTGCTTACTATACATAAAACAATTTAAAACAAATTACAAAAGTGGAATGTTTTAAGTTTAAAATTAGTCCTTAGATTTTTGTCCTAAAAAACATCTGTTCACATCAAAAGGCCCATCAAAGGGTACGTTTCATCAAAAAGGGGGGGGGGGGGACAAGAAAACAATGCACGTTTTTCAAATCAAAACGAGAAGTTTGGTCACTTAGCTTTGTGCATAGTTTAAGGCAACTGGAGCGATCTGTACAGCTCCCTCCCTCCCCTCCCCCGGGCGTGGCTGCTCCTTAGGTCACATTCGAAAATAAATAAAGCGTACATTTCCAATCCTCTCCCACATGGATAAATAGAACACATGCAGTCACACATGCACAACATGCACACAGACACACGTCCGCCCATTCACACACAACATACCTCTCACTGCAGCGAAAGGGACTTTAGTACCTTGCTCTGAAGGACACACTTCCCCATCCCACTCTATTTCAGACTGGCAAATACCCTGAGCTGATTATGGTGTTTACACATTCCACCTTCTCTTGCATGTGCAGGTCAAGTGTACAGTAGTGAAAACAACATGCAATGTCTTCACTGCAGAATCATAATACAGCTAGGACACTGGTGTTCTTCCCCACCCGCCCCAAATTAAAACTAATAGTTTAAAAAATTGCACTGCCAAACAGCACTGGAGGGAAAGCTTGGCGTACTCTATGATAATGCAGTTTCCAGTGCACAAATAAAACTATAGCAAATGAGAGGCTTTGGTGGCATCCAAAGAAGAAAAAAGGCAAACCAGGGGGGAGGAGCTGCAGTTTAAAGTTTGATCTTTAAAATTCTTAGTGGTTCCTTCACAATTATGCTCCAAGGCAAATTTAGAACCAGTATTTCAGAGTTGATTTGTAAACATCGAGTCAGCAGAGGCTGGGCACTTCACATTTCCATTTCTCAGAGAGCTTAGTGGAAGGGACAGATACACCAGGTTGCATCAGGCTGTTTAAACTCCAAGAGATTTCTGCTGAAAAGTTCAGTTCAAGTTTCATGGTTCGAAGAAGAAACGCTTTGAGAAACGTGGCGCTCCGCAAAACTTCCTTGGCCTCTCCTTCCAGTCACTCCTCAGGGCTTTGCAGATTCAAGGTTTCCCGTGAGAGCCAAATCCATATTACTGTATGTTCAGGTCTTACTGATTAAAAAGTGGGTTCAAATGATCCAACAGAGGAAATCCTGGACATGTAATGCTGGCACCCTCCACGTGGAAACCTGGGCAGTCAAGTCAGTCCCCTCACTCCAGTCCCCACTTCACATTTCCAAAGCCTCCAGGAGGCAGCCTGTTGCACGGATTCTGGGGTCACAATAACCGGTTTTCCTGAGGTAATAACTGTGAGTTCAACTCCTCAAACGCAGCTTCGGTGTCCTCGCTGGCAGACTGCTCCCGCTGCAGACCCTTCCAGCTGGCTTTATTCAGCCCCACGTGCCCGAGCATTGTCTGGGACAGCCTGGTGTCGGAGAACCTGGCCCATTCCGTGAATAAAGGCTCCACTAGGTAAGTCATAAAACCTTAAGGAAGTAAGAGAAAAAGGTACCAACATTACGTTCTGAAACTTTATCTCTAAAATGCCTCTACAGTGTTTACTCTCAAGTCCTATTCAATATTACCTAAACTTTGTTTCTAGTGTGTGTGTAAATTTACAAATCTTCTCTGAAGACTCTAAGTCTCAAGCCACTTAAAGGTGAACTGACAAACATACTGAATCTTTTCTGATGATTCCTCTAGCTGCACGACCACCTCCTGTGTCAGAGTGAACACACAGTGGCCACATGGACTGCGGACAGCAGGCGACACAGAACGAGGGGGGCAGTTCCAAGGAGACAGATGGCTGGAGGCTAAGGGGGGAGCTGGGGGTGATTTCCCTCTTTATACCCTCAGGGATGGTAATCTTCACACTCGGTCAGATTAAAGTAAGTCATTTTATTTTAAGTCAGAATTCATAAGCCAAAAGTCCTGACAAAAATGGAGTCTAAACAGAACAGAGGAGATTAATTAAAACAATCATTCAAGTGAACATCAAAGTGTACTGGGGTCCTACTTTATACACAGCTCATATACTGATCTCCTCAATTCATAGTCAGAAAGGGCAAACGCGTGATTCCAGGACTGCTCAGCTCCTTCAACAGCACTCAGGTGTACACTGTGCCTGACTTAATGCACAGGATCCAACCCAAGGTGAGAAGAAGCCCCTAGAAAATACCTCATCAATGAAATCATATATAATTATCTCACTAACTTCTGATCTGTTAAGGGCAAGAGAAATGTACATTCAAACCTATCACTGCTTATGTAAACCAGTTTTTACATTTTCTTCATCTCCAAAACCTTTTCTTTGCAGCAAAACACTATGCCTACTACAGGCAACACAGGTTCCATTCAGCCAACAAACCTCACAGAAATTAAAGCAGTTAGCACCCACTAGTTTTTGTTACTGTTAACCCTCACCCAAGGATATTCGTCCACTGATTTTTTTTTTTATAGAGTGGGAGAGGAAGAGAAACATCAATGTGAGAAAGACACATCGATTGGTTGCCTCCCGCATGACCCCAACCAGGACCGGGGATTGAACTCACAACCAAGGTACATGCCCTTGACCAGGAATCAAACCCGAGACCCTTTGGTCCGAGGGCTGACGCTCTAACCGCTTAGCCAAACCGGCTAAAGCAGCACCCTCTACTTTTAATTAGAAAAGTCATATATGGTCTGATGGTTCAATTTTTTTACGTGCAGAAATTATGGAATCTGAAATAGTAGTTAAGATATCAGAAACAAGCCCTGGCCAGTTAGGCTCAGTGGTTGAGCATCGGCCTGTGGACCAGAGAGTCCCAGGTTCGGTTCCCACTAGGGGCACGTACCACACACAAAAAAAGGTATTAGAAACAAGGCTTTCTTTCATTTCTTCTGTTTCCTCCATATACACGACCGAGAGCCTACTGTGAGCCAGCACTGTTCCAGGGCGGCTGGGGACAGAGCAGCGAAAACAGCAGACGAGATCTGCCCTCAAGGAGCTACGTCCTGGTGAGGACGGAGAAAGGGACAACCAGAAAGATGTCCTACGGCAGCCAAACGCAGCAGTTTTTGGGCAGCCATCCCACACCAACGTCAGGCTGGACCAGCCACCAGAGCCCGGTCTTTCTCAGGTGCCACAGCTAAGGCCTGAGCAGCTGAAGTTCTGTACCCAAATGCAGAAGCTCGTTGTAGGTTTTACGTGACTCATTTGACTCTCCCACTGTTCCAATTTGTAGAAAGCTTTTCAATCCAGCCTCTAATATCTAACAAATTAACTATCATTTCTGGCTCTGTGTTAACCTAAAATCTTTTAGGTCTTAAGCACATGACAGAAATGAATAGGCCGGGCCCTGGATGCGGCCGGCAGCGCCAGCGCAGAGCGCGGGGCTCGGTCGGGCTCACCCCCGGGAACTCCCCAGCTGTACCAGCCCGCGTGCGGGCTCCCTGCACAGCGCCCAGACACGTGTCAGATGCCTGGCTCCCACCAGTATGCGACACTCTTGTTCAATGAAAATAGTATTCCTATCAAAGAAGAAAACTATATTAATTAAATAGGGTTTCTACTTACTGACTATGCTGGCTTTGAGTAATCACTGCTTAGTCAGAATTTATTCTGACAGTCGCATGATTTACCCTACAAATAGAGTCTTTCCAAGTCCCATTTCACCTGGGATTTGACATCAGAAAGACCAGCACCTGTCAATTGTATAAACTGGGCAAACTATCTGAAAAAGAGAAGCTAGCATTACTTGTCTCCTGGTGTGGCTGTAGGAGTCAGTAGATGTAACCTACCGTCATCATTTACCTTTCCCCGTCCCTCTGATAATCCATTCTACATTTTATTTTAAATGTTTTTATTGATTTCAGAGACAGAGGAAGAGAGAGGGAGAGAGAGATAGAAACATCGATGAGAGAGAACATTGACTGGCCGCCTCCTGCATGCCCCCCACTGTGGAGCAGGCCCACAGCCTGAGCATGTGTCCTGACTGGGAATCAAACTGGCGACCTCTTGGTGCATGGGTCAACGCTCAACCAGTGAGCCACATGGGCTGGGCAACTTCTTTTTCCTTTTAAACATTGCACTTTTTAAAACCTCATTTGCAAGTTCCCTCATTAATCTAGGGAGTAATTTGCTCAGGCAAAGACATTTAAAGTAGTTACAGTGAGTTTAGTACTCATTCACCTAGCTTCAATTCCTTTTTGCCTATATTTACTCTATTGTTTTTCTTAAAAATTATTTTGTTGTTGTTAATCTTCATTCAAGGATTTTTTTTTTCCATTGATTTTTATTTTAGAGAGTGGGAGAAAGAGACAGAGGGAGGGAGGGCTAGTGGGAGAGAGAGAAATGCGAGACACACATCGATTGGTTGCCTCCTGCACACACCCCGACCAGTTGCAGGGATTGGACCTGCAACCCAGGTACATGCCCTTGACCAGGAATTGAACCCATGATCCTTCAGTGTGTGGGCGTATGCTCTAACCACTGAGCACACCAACCAGGGCTAACCTAGTCTTCTATATTTGAAGATAAGTCTACTTGAGAATCAAGACAGAGCAGATCTACGTCCTGTCTTATCCTTCTGTGAACCTTCTCAGCTTTCCTGGCCAGTCTGGGCTCCAAGGAGATCCAGTGTCCCTGCACCACTTCTATAGGTCTGTGCCACACTCTTCTGCCTGACTCTGCATCTTGTCCACTTGTCCCCCTGCAGTCAAGTCAGTTACTAGCCACTGTCTTCCACGTGAGGGTCCTTTGCGATCACAATAGAAATTATATTTCTGAATGTCTGAGCCTACAGCATGGTCCTCTTTTCAGAGTATTATGCTACCTTCTGAATTTCTAAAAACTTCATCTTTCTGAAGCTTGTGTATACATTTCCCTATGTCCAGTCTAATTCTCAAAGGCCCCACTCAACACTAGCTACCAGAATCGGTCATTCCTTGAACCCTTGCTGAGTTATCCGCAGAGGCCTGACCCTCGCCCGTCCTTCCTGTGCTCTCCTGCAGCCAGCGGCACAGACGTCCAGCTCCGCTGCACCATGCCTTGTCCTCCAGCTACGGTCCACTCTCAGTGGCTCTCAGTGCCTGCTGCTCCCGGGTGCAGTGCTGGCTGCTAGAATACACCACTCAGGCCACAGGGCCTGAGAGCTCAGGGAGACATGCCCAGGCTGGGAGACGATGTCCAACCAGCTGGAGAGAGTGGAAGGTGGCTTCTGGAGGACGTGTCAAGAAAAAGAAGCCCCCTGGGCAGAAGGAGCAGTGTGGACCTGGGGAACACGGAAGGGTGCCAGCTGCTCTAGGTAAACGAGGGGATGCTGTTGGGGTGAAGATTTAAAGGACAATTCGAGGCTAGATTTCAAGAGGCCTGTGCAGCATGTGGAGGAATGACTTGAACCGAGAGGCAGTGATGAAAAGGGAGAGTGAGCAGCAGTGCACACTGGTCCTCACAGCCGTTCAGCTCAGTGGTGACCTTTGTCACGTGAAAACGCAGTCCCAGAATTATGCAAAAAAGCTTCCACAAGGGCAAATAATGTCTTCCTTCAGTTTTAAGACAAAAACAAAGTTACTGTTACATGTTCTGCATAAATTATACTTTTTACAACCTAAAGTCAAATGAGAATAAACTATAAAGGTTAAAAAGGAAAAAACAAGAGTAAAATTTTTTAATTATTTAAAAAACAGAAATGAGCATACTTTTTTTTTTTATCCTCACCCGAGGACATTTTTCCATTTTTTGTTCAGGTAGAGTGGGAGGGAGAGAGAGGAACAGAAAGAGAGAGAGAGAAACATCGATGTGAAAGGGACACATCGAGTGGCTGCCACCCGCACGACCGACCGGGGACAAATTGCAACCGAGGTACGTGCCCTTAGCAGGAACCGAACCCGGGTCTCTCAGGACCGCAGGCCGACGCTCTAACCGCTGAGCCAAACCAGCCAGGGCTGAGCATACTTTTGATACTTTGTATTTCAAATATATACTTTATATCTCTTTTTCTTGACAAAGTTAAAATCAGTGGCGTTTTTGTTTTTGTTTTTTTCATTCATCTTCAGATAGAGCGGGAGGGAGGGGGGGAGAAGAGAGAGAGAACCATCGATGTGAGAGAGACACATGGACTGGTTGCCACCCACACGACCCCAACTGGGAACTGGGACCAGGGACAAACCGCAACCGAGGTACGTGCCCTTAGTGGAAACCGAACCTGGGACTCTCTGGTCCACAGGCTGATGCTCCAACCACTGAGCCAAACCAGCCAGGGCTCAGTGGCATTTTTTTAACCAGTTGTATCTATGTATAGTTACCAATCTGGATGTTGGCAATAGATTCAGTCTGACGATCACAAAATGGACTCACACCCAATTGATACTTCTTTTCTATATCTCCTAGAAATTTTTAAAAAAGAGAGAGAACTATTAATGTGGAACACACCTATTGGTTATGTATATAATTAAAGTCTACATTTTACCTGTAAATTCCTTAGGAAAAAGGCAACATATTAATCCTCAGGAGAGGACAGCTCTAAATTAGTTCTTTAAATTATTCACACATAGAAAAGATTGCCAAGCTGATATCCTATTTTATTTTGTTTTGTTTATTTATTTAATCCTTACCTGAGGATATTTTTCCATTGATTTTTTTTAGACAGAGTGGGACTGAGGGAGGGAGAGGGGGGTGGGGGGGAGACACATTGACTGGTTGCCTCTCTCATGACCTGGACTGGGGCCGGGGATCAAACCCACAACTGAGGTATGTGCCCTGGACTGGGAATTGAACCCGTGACTCTTTCGTCTGTGGGCCAATGCTCTAACTGCTGAGCCAAACTGGCCAGGGCTGATATCCTATTTTATTTTATTTTAAATGTGTCATCTTTTTTTTTTTTTTTTTTTTACTGATTTTGAGAGAGAGAGGAAGGGAGCGGCAGAGAGAGAGAGAAACATCGAGAGAGAACATCAACTTGCTGCCTCCTGCATGCTCCCCACTGGGGATCGGGCCCACAACCCATGTGTCCTGACCAGGAATCAAACCAGCCGCCTCTTGGTGCATGGGTCGATGCTCAAACACTGAGCCACCTGACCAGGTCTCATATCCTATTTTAAATGGAGGAGGCAGAAAACTTTTACTGGATGTTTTATCCCAGGACCGTAATCCTGTAAACACTTTAAATCTTAGATTTCTAAAAGGAAGATGCAGGAAATGAAGATCCTTGGTTCTTGGCTTTAAATCACAAAAACATCTTATGTATTCATATGGCCACGCCCTCCACGCAGGACAAGAGGGGGTAAGGGCAGGGAAATCTTTCTGTTTAGCAAAATTTCCAGCCTGACCTATTTCAATTCATAAATGCATACATACACATCTGATAATGAAGAGAACTGCTGATTTTCAAAACATGCTCAATTTGTACATTATTGGTTATATGTACATCTACTATAAACTGCCCCTAAAAATATCAATGATCTACCACTAGATCCCTATAAATGTCCAAGTTATTTTATACATATGATGCTAAAAAAATGAACTGAACAGATTAATTAGTATTCAATAGTGTAACTTGCCTTGATGGAAGAATTCCTCTGTTACTTTTTCACTCCACTGCTTGCTTAATTCCCAGGTCCGACATGGGTTACAAATATCAGCACACTTCAAAGCCATCTAGCAAGCAAAATATTGACATTGTTTTAAGAAAAAAAGTAAAATTTCAACTGTACTAAGTTTAAATCTACTCTAATAGTAGTAAAAATAACACCTTTAAAGAAAAAGAAAATATTGCAAAAGAAAATTCAATTTTTATATTAATTTTATGACTCTATTAGGTCCACCAATCATTTCTCCAGAAATGCTGCAAGACTGTGAACCGAACTGTATAGCTGAGCACAAGGCCTGCAATAACTATAAAGCTACAAATAAATCACCTAATTCCTTGTCATTTTTTAGATGTGAGAACTTACTAAATAAAATACTCATAGTTGATGGTGCCCTAATCTTAAAAAAAAAATTTTGTCAGAATCCCCAGGTGTGAACAACACAGAGCTACAGTGATCTTCTAGGGCGTGGGCACCCCTTCTGGGAAGGAGACCCCCAGCATCTAGGGAGTGGGCACCCCGTTCCGGGAAGGATCCCCCCAGCGTCTAGGGAGTGGGCACCCCTTCCGGGAAGGAGCCCCCAGCTTCTAGGGAATGGGCACCCCCTTCCGCGAAGGAGCCCCGCAGTGTCTAGGGAGTAGGCACCCCTTCCCGAAAGGAGCCCCCCAGCATCTAGGGAGTGGGCACCCCCTTCCGGGAAGGAGCCCCGCAGCGTCTAGGGAGTGGGCACCCCCTTCCGGGAAGGAGACCCCCAGCGTCTAGGGAGTGGGTAACCCTTCCGGGAAGGAGACCCCCAGCATCTAGGGAATGGGCACCCCCTTCCGGGAAGGAGACCCCCAGCGTCTAGGGCGTGGGCACCCATTCCGGGACGGAGCCCGCCAGCGTCTAGGGAGTGGGCACCCCTTCTGGGAAGGAGCCCCCCAGCGTCTAGGGAGTGGGCACCCCCTTCTGGGAAGGAGCCCCCCAGCGTCTAGGGAGTGGGCACCCCCTTCTGGGAAGGAGCCCCCCAGCGTCTAGGGAGTGGGCACCCCCTTCCGGGAAGGAGACCCACAGTTGTCTCTCAAGACCCAAATAACCACTCTGAACACTACACTAGAATATTTCATTTTTATTCTAACAGTCACATGATTTACCCTAGACATGGAATCTTTCCAAGCCCAATTTTACCTGTAAAACCAAATGCCTATGTCTGGCATCTTCTAGGCATAAGTCACCTCTATCCAAATGAGACCTAAACAACGACAGATACTCATTTTGGCGACTGATGTCTGTGGCTAGTATCAAAGCACCTATCTGAGTCTCCATTTGTTTCCTGGAATTAGAAAAATACAAAGAAAAAATACAAGACTTTCAATTAAACAGTTACTTCTTGATTTTTTTCCTTAAACTTAATATTCAGAAAGCTTTATAAAGCCCTAAGATATTCTAATTGCCACTTAGCTTTTAACTTATCACCAAAAAAATGAATTTTAAAGAATGCATAAAAAAACTACGAAAATAATCAAAACTAAAACCAAGCGAGTTTGTAGAAAAATACCAATACACAAATATCCCCAAAAGATGTTTTTATTTTTCCAGCCAAAATGGAATTCTTTGCTTAAAAAAAATACTAAGACTGGTATCTTTTTTGAGGCAGTTCTTCTCTGGGAGGTGCTGAGGGTAAGCAGCTTGGTTTCCTTCCTGGTGTCTGAAATCTGGAAGGCAGAAGGGAGTTTCAAAAGGAGCCTCAACTCACTCCTGCAGACATTTTGACTAAGATGCCTGATTAAATCCTGATGAAATTCCACTAAATGGTTTAAGAAAGTTTAGATTCAATTATATGTATAGTGCAACTGTTGTATATAGCTGTATATGTATATTTAAGAATCATTCAATTATCTAAATTTATTATTCCAAATTTTCTGGAGGATAAAATGTAACATTGATATAAATAAGAAATACATGATATATTTTTTAAAAAACCGTCTCAAGTCAAATAACAAGAGAAATAAAAAAAAATAAAAAATTCTAGCCTAGTGGCTCAGTTGGTTGAGTGGTATCCTGTACACCAAAAGGTTTCAGGTTTGATCCCAGTTACGGTGCATGCAGGAGGCAACTGATCGATATTCCTCTCTCTTAAATCGATGTCTGTCTGTCTGTCTCTCTCTCTCTCTCGTTCTCTTGCCCACTCCCTAAAATCAATAAACATATCCTTGGATGAGGATTAAAAAAAAATTCCTGCCTTTTGTGTCAATGGGCCATAACAAATCTTTTCTTTGTATAATGATCAGAGCTGTCAATAGATTGAAAGGTTCACAATATTGAATATTACAGAAGAAAACTAAAGTGCTGTGGTGTAGTGTTCCTTATATTCAGTTTTCACTTGTATTAAATCTAAGAATTCAACAGGGTTAATCATCAAATGCAAAAACATGATAAAAAGGGAATAACAAAGCAAACATTTTAATCTACCTTAATGAAGGAAAAGATAATTGCTACATACAAACACTGTATGGTTTAAGCAATTTTTGTATTTTTACTCAGCAAGAAACAATTTTACTTACCAGACGTATTGTCATAACTCCAAATGGTATCCATGAATAAAGATTTTAAAAAAATAAAAAATAAAGTCCAGCTTTTTTCTTATGGTCATTACACAAAACATGCAAGTTTTTAAATCATGAAAGGGAAAAAGGAAAGAACCATGACAGTAACTTAAATGTTAATACTCAAACATACTTTTATGCCACACCTCTTTTCTAGAATTACTTGGTTTATATAAACCATTTACATGGTTTTCTTAAGTGCATCTTCTCTCTGTGAGGCAGTCATTATTAAAAGCTGTTGTTTATGGACAATGACATGAGATTTTGTTAACAACCATCATCATATTGAGTTCATTCACATTAATGCTCTTTATTAGGCTTTCAAATGGCCTGCTTAACATAAATGATCTATTCTAAAAAATTAGCTTTTCTTGCCTTGGCCGGTTTGGCTCAGCAGTTAGAGCGTCAGCCCGCGGACCAGAGAGTCCTGGGTTCGGTTCCCGCTGAGGGCACATACCTCGGTTGTGGTTTGTCCCCCGCCCTGGTTGGGGTCGTGTGGGCGGCAACCACTCGCTGTGTCTCTCTCACATCGATGTTTCTCTCTCTCTCTCCCTCCCACTCTGTCTGAAGATAAATGCAAGAATGTCCTCGGATGAGGATAAAAAATAAAATAAAAAATATAAAAAATTAGCTTTTCTGTTCTTTCCATTCATCTTTTTTTTTTTTTTTTTTTAAATCCTCACCCGAGGACATTTTTTCTTTTTTTAGTTCAGATAGAGTGGGAGGGAGAGAAAGGAAGAGAGAAACATCGACGTGAAAGGGACACATCGAGTGGCTGCCACCCACATGACCCAACCAGGGCTGGGGACAAACTGCAACCAAGATACGTTCCCTTAGCAGGAACCGAACCCGGGTCTCTCTGGACCGCAGGCCAACGCTCTAACTGCTGAGCCAAACCGGCCAGGGCTCCTTCATTATTTCATCCTACAGCTCCAGAAGTGACTCCAGCATTTTTTCTTATCAGTTTTGAAACTTTCTAAAATAGATTTTTAATAGATAAATTTATTATACAGGATGTTTGCTTTCTATTCAATTTATACCTAGAACTTAAGGCTCTATTTAAATCAGCACAAAATGGCCCGGCCAGTGTGGCTCAAGGGATTGAACGCTATCCCATGGACTGAGAGGTCCCAGTTCAATTCCCAGGCAGAGTTCGGGTTGCAGGCTCGATCCCCAGTAGAGGGCGTGTAGGAGGCAGCCAATTGATGTTTCCCTCATATCCACATTTCTGTCTCTCTCTCCTTTCCTATCTACAAAAACCCACAAAATTTTATTCTTAAAAAAAAAAAAAAAAAAGCACAAAATGGAAATGTGTAACTCTATTTATATAAATAAGCAATAAACTGATTGAGCCCTTGTGTATTTGGAATGAATTTTATAGTGCTCCAATCTATGGGATGACCTTTCATAATAATTCACTAACAATACTACTAACTGTACTATAGGTTTAAATTATTAAAATTTTGATATAAATTTGTAAAATGAAAAAATTTACCCCTTAAATTTAACAAAAACTGAAAACTGTGGAACAACTGAACATAGTAATGTAATTTTTAAAACTTTATCAAATTGTTTTGCCAACTTAATTTTCGTGGTTCACAGCAAATTAAGTTCATCAGACTCCAGCCTACCTGCTTTCTAATGGCATATGTGAGAATAGACCGGATTCTCTCAACAGTCCCACTGCAGATCTCCAGTGGTGGTTTTCCAGCACTGAGGTATTCTTAGGGAAAAAAAAAAAGCACATCTGAATTACTTAATGGTAATAAATCTCTTCTGAACATAAAGAATTATATCATTTGAGAGCAATATTAATCGGGTTAAAATTCTAACACTCATTGAGAATTTGTTAACCATTTTCACTTCTTGAAAACATGAAACATTTTCAGGAATGCATGATAATTAAATGTTGATGATAAAACTGCACTAACCTTGTATAAAGTTGCCAAATAATGGTTAGTTTTAATAAGGAAAGGCTGATTAACACCTGGATGATCCAGATCATGAGTGGCAGCTGCAATTAAGCCCAGCAAGACATCCCAAGGAGTTACCGAGCTGGCAAGCTAAAGTCGACAAAAGAATGATTAATTACAGACCTATCTGAAATCAACTCTGCACCATTACAATAGTTCTGAATTAGCCCCAAAATGGCAGTGTTGACAGTGTCCTCCCATTTCATGCTTTTCAGACTGTTCGCTGAGTCCACTGCGTGCCGGCGGGTGCTGGCGGCGTCACCACGCGGAGGGAAGGCAGGACTTGGCGCTCGCGGGCCCATCCTTACGCTGCTTCATTGTAAACAAGCTTAATCAAAATGGTGGAGCATAAACCATCTTTTTGAGAAACAATGGTTTTAAAGCAATCAACACAGGTTTGTGTATTTTTATCACCACAGCCATTACCAACAGAGAAGACCTATGAGGTTTAAGGAGATTTTTTTATTATAAGAACACCTAACATGAGATCTACCCACAACAGATTTTTATCAAAAAATTGTTCATTGGATTTCAATTAAGAATTTAAAAATCGAGGCTATTTCTGAGGTGCTCCTGTTTAAGGAGGCTGCTGTGTAATCAGAGCAGAAGTCTACGTGAGGTCTGTACTAAACCCTCTCTCAATGGATGATACATGCAGAACAGTATACCCAATGTACTCTTGTCAGAAAAAGCAGTGTAAACTAACAATTACCTCTTTACTCCCAATAATCATTACTAACCTTACTTGATACAATAAAATAATCATAGTAAAACAGTTTATTACCTGCCTGAAAATTTCAATGGTTAAAAAGTGATCCCCTTGCTATATATATATCACCTACTTTTCATGAATCCCCTTCTCACTATCTGGCCAGCTTCTTAGCTTCTAAGGCCCAGCTCCACTGACCACGACACCACCCGTTCTCGCTGGCAGCCCCTTCCCTAGCAATGGCTGGCTTGAGTTCCTACAGCACTCCACATATCCAGCCATTGTCATACTCAGCAGAACATACTTTCATTTAGGGAACGTTAGGTCAATGCTCTCTGGACTTGTCTGAGCCTGGCCCCAGCAGTACAAAGATGTGACATATACCAGCACTATCGGTACACTTACTTATAGATTATGATACTGAACTAACATATACTGCACTGATAAAACAAAGATGAAAATTCAAAAATTTTTAAATGAGATAAATAAAAATGTGATTCAAATTTTAACATTTTCTTTCTATGCCAGAATGAATATTTTTTCCATCCCATGTGTCAAGTTCATCTCAGGCTGAAAAAAACAAAACACTAAGGCTTGAATGCCTGGAAAACTGCAACCTGTTTGAAGACAGACAATATTTACTGTTTATTCTTGTATTGCTTATAATCGGTTCATGGAGAAGTTCAATGAATGGGGAGAAGGTGGTGAAGAAAATGATTTCCTCTTTAGGATTTGTGAAAGCATCTAAAACACAGATTTCTAAAGCACTGCTTACTAATCAAGGAGAACGAAGGCAACCCCAGGCACCGTGGCACACCACGCAACCCCCTCCCAGCGTAGAAACGTGGGGGTACGGCGTGGATGTCCCACGAACAAGGAATTTATCAGGAAATATGCAAATGCTATATTCTTACGACAGCTAAAGCAGAGGGGAAGTGGCAGAAGAACAGACATGTACCATTCCGGGAGAATCCAATAATCCAGAATTAGACTTAAAAAAAATTAATGTATGATGACATGTGACATCAATCTCAGGTAGATTAAACAGTGAATCATTAATAATAAAACATGAAAAGAAAAAAAAAAACTGAATTTTTAAAAGTTCTGTGAAGGGAAAGTAAGTTCTAAGTTTGATTTTTCTCCTACACTTCACACTGTCACCCAACTCTCTATTAGATATTCATTTGGATATCACACAAATACATCTCCACATATTCTTGTGAAGGAAATTCTGATTCTGAGTCAAATCACTAACTTTAGGGGAAAATATGTGAAAGTAAAGCAAAGAAACTTCATTAGAACCCCCTGCTCCAGCTGCCGGCCTCTCACCTTAGGCTCTCGTAGGTAACAGTGCATGGCCTGAGTAACGTCTGCAGCGTGGACTGCATTGTGATAAGGGTTCTGACTGTGGTAATCTTCTTGAATCATCACTGCAACAAAGGAAAAAGAACCCCCAAACTAATTGTGAATGGGAGGCACGGGCAAGTGAAAAACAGTGATAATCACAACTTCTCCACGGATACTTCCCATATGCTATCTGCTAAGCTGTTCAGATTCAGAGAGATGGCGATCACCCCATAACTCCATGTACACCTAAAGAATCAATGCCATTTTGACTCATAACTTGTTTGAAACTTTTATTTTTTGTATTTTTTTAAAATAATTTTTATTTCATTTTAGAGAGAGAGGAAGGGAGAGGGATAGATAGATAGAAACATCGATGAGAGAGAACATCAATTGGCTGCCTCCTGCACGCCCTCCACTGGGGATCTGGCCCACAGCCTGGGCATGTGCCCTGGCCAGGAATCCAAATGGCAACCTCTTGGTGCATGGGTCGGCACTCAACCAACCACTGAGCCACTCCAGCTGGGCTTGTTTGAAACTTTTAAATGAAAAGGTATTCATGTCAAAATTTTAAAATATTGTTTCTTTTTCTCTTTTAAAATGTGAATCTATTCAACTGAGACCAAAAAGAGTCTCTCAGTTTAGTAAAACAGTACAATTCATTCAACAAATATTTACAGTGCCAGGTAATTCACCAGTGAACAAAAAATGTTTATGATGCTAAAACAGTGTAAATATTGGGGTCTATGAAAGTGATCCAGTGGGCACATTATTAGGGAGGCAAGTTTTGGATCTGGAATTCATCTGTCAGTTTGTAGGGATGGACCTTCTGCTAATCCTCTCTTTTTCGCTCCCTGTCTGTTATGCTATCACGAGAAGGTGGACCAACACCAGAGGAGAGCTGTCTGTGCGCCAGCAAACCCGCGCTGTGGCCCAGCAGCAGGACACTCGAAAACGAAGTCGTCTCCTGATAACTAGAACTAGCCCCAACGTGGCGACTACAACCCGTCAGTCAGCAGGAAAGAGATCTGAATTTCTTTGATTCCATCATTTAAAGTAGCCTTTTAAATACTCCTGTAATATCTATTTTTGTATGTGTTTTATAATTTATATATTAGTACAGTATTGTATGTATACAATTTGTAAATAAATGTGCTTTAAAAGTTTCTCAAAAATGCTAGGTAATAAGTTTATTTTCGTTTGTTACTTAAAAAGAAAGAAAACACTTCTTCCTTTAAAAAAAAAAAGGAATCCTCATGCTACCAATTTTTCTCCAACATATTTCTTTATTCAGTGAAAAGCTTCAACTTTTCTCCCTGTATATTTAAACATATTCAAAACAGTCTTTAAAGTTTACTGTCGAATAGGAGACCGAAGTGCAATGTACCAGATCTTTCAAAGTTTCAGCCCTCAAACTGAGTCGAGGACAGAGATGGTGCCGTCTCAGGCAGACAGCTGTGGCCCATGGGAGAGCCTGACACAGGCCGCGCCAGCTCCTCGCCGCGCCCCCACCCAGGGCTGAGCCTCCGCAGCTCCCCACCCCAGGTGCCATTCGTTTTCCTCCGACCTGCTCTGGCCATAGCTAGCTCATACCAAAAATTTTAAAGTTCTTATATAAATCTCACTACTGCTAAATGAGTTAGAATCACTTACCTAAAAATCTACGAAGTTTCACCATATCTAAATGGAAGTACTCAATTAGTCCATGAAGACTAAATAAATGACAGGTTAAACTTACTAGACTATTTCCTAAAAAAAAAAAAAAGAGAGAGAGAGAGAAAGAGAGAGAGATTAATAGCTAACATAATTGCATCGTTCATCCAAATATGGGTTTTAAATATACACACAGACAGTACTAATTCCTGCTTTTTGTCTGTCTAAAATTCCCATCTTATTAGAACAGTTATGTACTTCAAATATCAATTTTTTTCCATTCTGAGAAAAAACTTTTTTGTTGTTTCATTTTTGCACAACCAAATAACCGGAAGATAAACATTTTTTAATAGACTGATTTTTTTGAAAAGACACCAAAATAATTAGAATCAATAGAAACTTTGAAAATTGTCCCACACTCAGTTTAAGTCGACTTCCCAAAGCACCTAAAACATGGCTGCACTTAACTACTTCCTAAACACACCCTGGACCACCTGCTTTAGCTAGACAGGGATGTCCCAGAGCAAGGTGCCTTGGCTACTGCCTTGTTAAGTGGAGGCTGTGTTTATTCTAAACACATAAGGCTAGTACAAGGGGTCAGTGAGCACCTCTACCAAGATCAAAACTCTGAACTCAGTTCTGGCCTCTCCCATACTTGCAGCAGAAAATCTGAGAGTTGCTTGGGGAAGGGGGAGGGGGGTGGAGAGGGAGGGAGGGAGGGAGTGTGTGTGTGAAAACCAGGCAGAATCTATCACTACAGACAATACTATCGAGCAATCTTATGTATTTTCTAGTGCAATGGTTCTTTCACTTTTCAAAATGCCCATTGCAAGCTTTCTCTACTCCTCAAATTTTCAACATACACATCCTATTCACCCCCTCATCCTCAATAGCCTCATACTTCACAGAAAAAAACACAAGCTCTCAAATTTCCCTTTCTTTCAAAAGCCAAGCCCTCTACCTCTCCACAGCTTCTCGGGAACCTTCCTTGGTCCATCATAAACATCTACCAATGTCCCACCACCACCCCCAGCCCCCAGCCCCACTGAATCAAAATACCCCTCCCTTCTCCCTTCCATATATTGTCCCAGTAAGATCAGCACTCAGACATGTTTGAGTCTCTTATCTTTGAAACCATGAAGAATCTCCCACTCCCTAGGCGCCCTCCAGTTCCACCCTCCACGCCCCTACACAGCGAGGTTTTCTGGTAGTGTTGCTACATGCAACGGGGATCACCTTCATGGTCAACTTCCACTCCTTTGTCACTGAAAACTGGAATCACATCAAGGGTAGAAATTAAATTTGGAAAAACTACCATTTTTATAATGTTTAGTTTGTCCTTCCAAGATACAACTCTCTCAATTTTTTATACTTTCCATTATATTTCTCAATGTTTTGAAAATTTCCTCTGTAGAACCCATAGGCTAAATTAACAATTAAATAGAGTATGTGTTTTAAAGTGGTATAAGCTCATAATTACTGCCAACATTTGAACAATAACAACATAAACATGATTCTAATATTTTTTTTAAATCTATGATTCTTACAAAAATGAATAAAAGACCTAACTAGTCCCACATTAAAAAATTTTAGTAATATTTATGAAGGATTATAAAGAACTACTGGGCTAAACTCATTATCTAAAACTGCCTAAACAGCTGTCAACAGCAGCCCATGGCTGAGGTAAGAAGTAAACTCCTGGAAGAATATTTGCACGGGCAACACTGTAAAGAATGTGGCAGCCCCAAAGACATTCTTTTTCAAAACTACCTGACATATCCACTTTCAAAGGGAGAAAAAAAAATTTCAGATCTTCTATTTTTATGAAATTAAACAATAAGATGCATTCAAATCCTGACAACACTCTACTGTACAAACATGAGCCCATGTGGTTTGAAAGTATTTGTGGAAAAGTGAGCTATATTGCTGTTATTGCAGTTACAACACGAACTTTTCTTTGGGTATATTCACAGATATTTCAGAATATATATTCAAAAAAACTATCCAATTAAAAAATGGGCAAAGGATCTGAACAAACATATTGATGGTCAAAAGACACATGAAAAGATGCTCAACATCACTAATTATCATGGAAATGCAAATCAAAACCACAATGAGATGTCACCTCACACCCGTCAGAACGGCAATTATCAAAAAGACATGAAATAAGTATTGATGAGAATGTGGAGAAAAGTGGAGCCTTGGGAACTCTTTGTGGGAATGTAAATTGGTACAGACACTATGAAAAACAGTATAGACGTGTCTCAAAAAATTAAAAATAGAACTACTACATGAATCAGCATGTAGTTATTTATCACTTCTGGTTATTTATCTGAAGAAATCCAAAACACTGCAGCGTTATTTACAATAGCCAAGATATGGCCTGGCGGGTATGGATCAGTGGTTGAATGTCAACCCATGCACCAAGAGGTTGCCGGTTGGATTCCCGGTCAGGGCACATGCCCAGGGTGTGGGCCTGATCCCTAGTGGGGGGAATGCAGGAGGCGGCCAATTGATGTTCTCTCTCATTGATGTTTCTATCTCTCTCTCCCTCTCCCTTCCTCTCTCTCTAAAATCAATACAGAAAAAATATTTTAAAAAACAAAACAATAGCCAAGATATGGAAGCAACCTAAGTATCTATGGCTAGACGAATGGATAAAGAGAATTTGATATATGTGTACGGAATTTTATTGGAATAATATGAAAAATGGAATATGATTCAGCCATAAAAAGAAGGAAATCTTGATATAATGTTGACAGCCACTCTGACAGGTGTGAGGTGATATCTCAGTGTGGTTTGAATTTGCATTTCTCTGATGATTAGTGATATTGAGCATCTTTTCATGTCTACCGGTCATCTGCATGTCTGCTTTGGCAAAGTGTCTATTCAGGTCCTTTGTCCATTTTTAAAAATTAGATTTTTTGGGGGTGTTGAGTTTTATAAGTTCTTAGTAAATTTTGGATATTAAGCCCTTATCAGATGTATCAGTGAATATGTTCTCCCATTCAGTGAGCTGTCTTTTCATTTTGTTGATGGTTTCCTTTGCTGTGCAAATACTTTTTAGTTTGATGTAGTCCCACTTGTTTATTTTTTCTTTTGTTTCCCTTGCCCAAGGAGACACATCAGAAAAAATACTGCTAAGAGAAAGGTCCAAGATTTTACTGCCTATGTTTTCTTCTAGAATTTTTATGGTTTCAAGTCTAACATTTAAGTCTTTAATCTATTTTGAGTTTATCCTTGTGTATGGTGTAAGAAGGTGGGCTAGTTTCATTTTTTTGCACATATCTGTCCAATTTTCCCAACACCATTTATTGAATAGACTGCCTTTACCCCACTGTACGTTCTTGACTCCTCTGGCAAATATTAATTGACCATAAAGGTGTGGATTTATTTCTGGGGTCTCTATTCTGTTCTACTGATCTATGTCAACAAATAACAAGTGTTGGGAAGACGTAGAGAAAATGGAACCCTCATGCACTGCTGGTGGGAATGCAGACTGGTGCAGCCACTGTGGAAAGCAGTATAGAGTTACCTCAAAAAAAAAAAAAAAAAGGAACTACCTTATGACCTAGCAATTCCACTTCTGAGAATATATACAAAGAAACCCAAAACAATGATTTGAAAGAATATATGTACCCTTATGTTCACTGCAGTGCTATTTACAATAGCCAAGATTTAGAAGCAGCCCAAGTGCCCATCAGTAGATGAGTGGATAAAAAAACTGTGGCATTAATTAATGGAATACTACTCAGCTGTAGAAAAGAAGGAACTCTTACCTTTTGCAACAGTGTGGATGGACCTGGAGAGTATTATGCTAAGTGAAATAAGCCAGTCAGAGAAAGACAAGTACCATATGATTTCACTTATATGTGGAATATAATGAACAAAATAAACAAACAAAATAGAAATAGACTCATAGAAACAGAGAACAGACTGACAGCTATCAGGGGGGAGGGATGCTGGATGAAAAAAGTGAAGGGATTAAGCAAAAAAAAAAACCCGCAAAAAAAAACACACGCGCGCTCGCAAAAACCAAACCAAACCACAACACAAACAACGTCACAGACACAGAAACAGCAGGTGATTGCTAGAGGGAAGGGAGGCAGTGGAGGAAGAAGAGGGTAAAGGCAGGACGGTGATGGAAGGAGACTTGAGTTGGGGTGGTGAACACACAATATGTAATATAGAATCATATGAAACCTGTATAATTTTATAACCAATAACCCCAATAAATTCAATCAATAAATAAGTAAATAAAATAAAAAGAAGGAAACCTTGCCATTTGCAACAACATGGATGGACTTTGAGCACAGGCTAAGTGAAATAAGTCAAAGACAAATGCCGCATAATCTCACTTATATGTGGAATCTAAAACAAAAAAGCTGAGCTCACAGATAGAATAAATTGTGTCTGTCAGAGGCAGGGTTGGGGGGCGGGTGGACAAAACTGGTGAAAGAGGTCAAAAGGGACAAATTTCCAGTTGTAAAATAAATATATAAATGTGTCTTGGGATTAACATGCAGCACGGTGACTAGAGTTAATATTCCGTCCTGCACATTTGAAAGCTGCTAGAAGAGATCTTAAAAGTTCTGGTCACAAGAAAAAATTTTATAACAATGTATGGTGACAGATGTTAACTAGACTTATTGTGGTGATTATTTTACAATATATATAAATATCATGTCATCATACTGTACACATGAAGCTAATAAATATAAGTCAATTTTTAAAAATGTATATTTTTTCTGTATATAGGTCATGATAGTGTTCTCCCAAAATTAGTTTCCTAGCCTAATGACACAAACGACACATTTCCAGGATCTAGAGTAAGTGTCAGGGAAGCTGCAGTCTAACGGTACAATACCCTCTTCTGCAATCTGGGCACAACACAGTGAGAAACACGTGTGACATCTTCCATCAAGAACTTTACAGGAACCGGACAAGAGCCCGTCGATTAAAGCGTACTACCCATAGCGAATCAAAAAGCTACAAGAAACATTTTCTTTTCATGTTCAGTTCATAAGATACCAACAGACTATTTTAATAACCGCGAATAAGAACACAAATCAATGAAACACTTCAAAACAAGTGATGCTTAGATGATATGTTAAACAAGAAATGGGCACACAAGAACTTATTCTATATGAACATGGAAACAAACACTTTCTTGGACAAAAATTATACTTATTAAAAGCTACCCTCATAAAAATATATCAAAGGACAGAAATGCCAAAGGTACAGTGGCCTCTGACAATTTTCAGAACATGACTCAGACGGGACCCGACAGGGTTAGGCTGCCTCCAGGTCACAGGCCTGGTGATGGGCGACCTCACACGCCCGGCAGCTTTCAGGGCTGACCAGGCGTATCTTGCCCTCTCATATACCCGCACTCGCGTCCCTGAGAAAGGAACATCAGCTGTATCCTACCAGACGCTACTACCTTCCTCCTTGCAGCAGACAAGCTGGGGACCAGATGTCTTGGTGGCAGTCACTGAGTTCTGCCTCCTCCCTGCCTTCCTCATAATAGCATTTGGAAAAATACCGGAGTAAGAAAAACAGAAAGCACAGGGTCAAAAGCAAGAAGGGAAAACTATACATTTGGAAACCGTGTACATATATCATCCAGAATTCATGTCAGGCTAAGCAGTTTTGAAAGGAAAGCAGTGCTAACTAAATAATGTGAGTGAAAGAAAGTTTCCTCTGATTTGTTTCCCAAGAATCTCTCTTCAAATACAGAATTTTTGTAACGTTTGGGTAGCTGTAGTTTACAGAAAAAAAAAATCTCTTTCTCTCTCTCCATCCCTTCCTCCCTCTCTATCTCACCATCTGTAAAATCATAGGTGGGAGCTAACAATTGACAGTTTCTACTAACCCCTAATAATCAACCCTAAGAAGAAACCATTCAGCCGTCTTCTCCACAAAAGGAATGAGGAGATTAAATGGACAGCACAGAGCTAATTAGCTAGTGTGGTCTCATGGTTTTTACTTCTGCTACCCTACACACATTCATCACCAACTCCCCTAACGAGTACTGTTAAAAAATAAAATTTAGCCCAGCCAGTGTGGCTCAGTGGTTGAGTGTCACCCCATGCACCAAGAGGTTGCCGGTTTGATTCCCGGTCAGGGCACATGCCCAGGGTGTGGGCCAATGCCCAGTGGGAGGGGCGTGTAGGAGGAGGCCAGTCGATGTTCTCTCTCGTTGATGTTTCTCTCTCTCCCTCCCCCTTCCCCTCTCTCTAAAAAAAATAAAGGGAAAAAATGTTTAAAAATAAAATTTAGAGAAAAGTCAACTATTCCAATGAGTGACAAATGTTCCAGTAGACACAGGCTATGAACTGTTAGAACGTACAGTTTTATAAGGCTAAACCTTAAAGGTATTAAGCGTGGCACTGTTTTTTCCATATTATCCTGAAATGAGCAATTCATGCTGCGTTAGGAAAGGGGCATTTCCCGGATCTAGAAGAAGCTGAGCCACCTGGTACTTCACTACCTGTATTTTCACAGAGGCTGAAAGGAAGGACTGCTATGCAAAGGATATGAGCCTTTCCTGTGTGGACAGCCCAACGTGGGGGCGGGGAGAGGAACGCCACACTGAGTCACCAAAGGGCAATGGAGAGGCGGGAGAGAACTAGAAAAGGGAAAAACAAAGGGAAGAGAAGCAGGAGGGAGGTATGCTGATCAGGCAAACTTCACTGTCTTTACAATTTTGCCTATTTTCTGTCAACAGTCAGAAGACAAACAGACGGTGATTACAAAGGTATTTCCACTACACATGTTTCACAGCTCAGAGAGGGAATAATGTAGTGATAGTAAAAAGCTAGATCCACATTGATCCTCAAGATGAATAAAGTATTTGCTTATCTATTTTCTATAGTTGGCTTCCTTACAAAAGGAGCCTTATTCCAAAGTAAAATAAGAGAAAAAGAGGATGATTTCAGAGGACAGCAGTGAACCACAGATGCACTTTATTCTGAACAGTCAGGACTGGCTACCTCTCAGTGTGCTCTCCACTCTGCTTTACTTATTAAAAAGATATTTAGATACAAGGGACAAAGTCTAGTGGAACTACATATAGCACCATTTTTTATGCCAAAAAACGTACCCTAAATAAAACTGATCCCCAAAGACAATAAGGTAACATGAATCCTTCCCCAAAACAAAAAACCTTGGGGTGGGCTGGACAGAGCAGAATCACCCTCCCCAGATTCTGATAAACCCCATGCAGGAGCTGCAGCTCGTCCCCTGCCCATCAGGGGGAGCAGTGCCGGGGCCTCACTGCAGCGACCACACACTGTCTCTCCAGTGTGCAGAGAAGAAAAGCCCGAGAGCCACAAAGCTGGAAGAAAGGATGTCTCTCAGAAAGTCAGTGATCTACCTCATCTCTGCAGCTATTAAAGCTGGAACACAATCTCAAAAGATGTCACTGTAAATGGCCACAATCCAAAAGAAACCAAAACAGAAAAATCAAGAACATGAGATAATAATGTTCACTTGGGGTTATAATAGTAGCCTTAATGAGGAATGGCTAAGTGATGGCGATTGATTTTTTGACTAAAGGTAAGAGCAATAATCAAAACTAAATTGACAAGATTAGTCCGGCCAGTATGGCTCAGTGGTTGAGTGTCAAGAGGTCACCGGTTCGATTCCCGGTCGGGACACATGCCCCACATGCCCAGGTTGTGGCCCAAATCCCCAGTGCAGGGCATGCAGGAGGTGGCCAATTGATGTTCTCGCACATCGATGTTTCTATCTCTCTCCCTCTCCCTTCCTCTCTCTAAAATCAATAAAGAAAAAAATAAAAATAAAGAAACTTATGAGATTGAAACTCGGCTTACAGATCAGTCATAAAGAGAGAAAATTATGCTCTTCTCCCTGCCAGCAGAGGGCTCCAGACCTAACTAAATGGAAGCAGCAACCCACCAGTGGTTGTACCATCAATGCAGTATCTAGAGAATACATTAATTTGAGTAAGTCAAATTCTTCACTTACCATTTGTTAGTCTATCAAATAGAAAGATATCAAAATTCCAATTTCCAACTTTTCCCAGCATACACTGAAATGAAAACCAAACATTCCTACTGTAATTTAATTTCAATAACACTATCTTTTGTAGATGGTTCATAGAGAAGTTAATGAAAATGGAAAGTGATTGATTTACTGTAAGAAATGCTATATATATCATCATCCTTTTAATCATGACCTTTCCAATTGGCTCCAAAAAATGTCTAAAGGAATAAACTCCATTTGAAAAAACAAATTTATTTTGTTTCCCAATGAATAAATGTATAGGTAAGGTTAGTGTTTTTTTAAACTTATTCCTATACTCCCACAAACTTCAAGAACATAATTTAACATCACAGAAGTGTGGTTCATATGTTGCAAGGTCTAGAAACTAGATTTTAAAAATCTAGTAAAAATAAGTTGTAATAAGTGAGTACTTACTATATTCCAGGTACTGTTAAAAGTGCTTTACTCGTCTTACTATTCACACCAACACTATCAGGTAGGCACTGTTTTCAATCCTCATTTAGAGACGGGGAAACAAGCAAAAAGTAACTTACTTGCCCAGCTAGAAAGTAACAGAGCTGGGGTCTTAAATCAGGTGTCTGATTCTGGAACCTAGGCATGTGACATCTATATTATGCTATGCTTAAATTATGTTATTCAGTTTTCTTGGAAAACACTCCCAACTTATACGTATTTATTTATATTCTTTAAACATCCTTATGAAATAACATTTACTACATTAATTTTTAGATTAAAGTGTATTTCAACCAAACAAATCCTACAATGACCTTAAAAATCAGATTATATAGATTGTTATATTATTAAACATAGATTATTATATATATTTTTAACTTAAAAATAAAGTCCACAAAATTTTCAAGAAAAAAATTGTTTCCAAAAGTTCCTTGTTGTATACATTTATGAATAGATCAACATAAGCAATACCAAGACTCTTGCTAGTAGAGATTGATTATGAGAGTACTAACAACCAATCATACACAGACCATAATATTATTCTATAAAGAAGACCTTGTGAACTTTTTTGTTTTTGTTTTTGGTACGTGCCCCTAGCGGGAACTGAACCCGAGACTCTCTGGTCCGCAGGCCGATGCTCCAACCGCTGAGCCAAACCGGCCAGGGCCCTTGTGAACTTTTTAAAGTTTAAAGGTGGCATGGACATTTTCCACTGATTTCTTTCATCAAACAGGGAAGCAAGTCTTTTCACCTTAATGATATCGTAAAGGTATCCCAGCCCTATCTACACAAACTTACAAAATCTGGCCTATAAATATTAAGATAAAGAATAATTTTTAAAATATAGAATGTAAAATTATTAAAAATCATCATTTGGTCAAAAATAAGCTCATCTAATCTCCAACTTCATTAAGACATTTCTTTTAAACTACATAAAGAAAATAATGCTCACAATCACTGGGTTTAATTAAGAAACACCTAAATCCTCAAAATATGTCACTGATGCAAGAGACAATGAAGATCATTTGGCTGAAAGTCATGAGACATTCTGTTCCTTAGGTCACAGTTTCCTTAGCTATTTAATACAGAAATTAGATCAGATAATCCATATTATTCTTCCCAGCATTAAGAGTCTTCTGATCTTATAGTTTAATGTTCTATTGCTCTACTTGTTACTTAATGTTATAATAAATAAAAATACTTTCATTTATTTAGTTACTTCAGAAATTTCCCTTGCTCTATAACACCTAATCATAAAAGAACTGCCCTGACTTAATAAATGGGTTCAACTGATTTTCACATACAAAAAAAGGCTCTATAAATCAGTATCAGATGGGAGAAGAAGGCTTCATTAAACTTATCAAAAAGTTAACGTTTCTTGAAAAAGTTATACACACCTTGGCTTGTCCATTATAATCATCATCTAAAATGTTTAGAGAATTTGAAACAGTAGTACCACGAAAAAAGCGTGATGATCTAAGATACCGCTGGAAACTCAGTAACCTTCTGATATTCCTTGCAGACACAGAAACTTCAATTTCAGATTGAGCTGAAATAAAAGAAGTAAAAGGTGACTACAGCAAGTCAAAACTGTGTATATACTATCTTGTAATACCCCCTTTTAGTTATATACAAATATATTTTTAAATTAATCATTACACAACAATTCTAGGAGAGAAGAGGTACTTTGTATTCCTATTAAAGAACTAAAAATGAAGGGGTGAGGCTGTATTAATAATCAGCTTCTTTTATTAACTTCCAAGAATGATCATTTCTCAGTCTATGGCTTCAATACACTATAAACACACTGTGGAACCGAAAGACAAAATCTAGTTGAAACTATGCTTCATATTGAGAAGCCAGGTCCCAAGTTACATTTGAGACTTTAACAATTACACAATTAAAACATCTCAAATCCTAATGAGGTATCCTTTCAATTATTTCCTTAAGGTAATTTTACTCAGAGGACTGGGAAACGGAATAGAGAATAAAGCAGTCCGTATGCTGTAAAGGACAGGGATGAAAACCCTGTGATAAAACCTCCACCAAAGATGTGGTTCCATGCTGGACACTGACACGTTCTCTGTCAGTAAGTCTATCAACCATTTTAGAATAAACCAGTTTTTTTGAGCAACAGATTAAATAACAAACTTGTGGTAAAAGCTCTCTCTTTTTTATTAAAAATTTTTTTAAAAATTTTAATCCTTACTGGAGGATATTTTCTCATTGACTTTCAGATAGAATGGGAGGGGAGGAGGGAGAGAGAGAGAAACATCGATGTAAGAGAGACACACTGATTGGTTGCCTCCTGTATAACTCCAACAAAGGCCGGAGATCAAACAACAACCAAGGTATGCGTGCCCTTGACTGGAATCAAACCCACGACTCTTTGGTCCACAAGAGGACGCTTTAACCACCAAGTCTAACTGGCCAGGCTAAAATTTTATTTATGAGAGAGAGAAAGAGAGAGAGAGAGAGAGAGAGAGAGAGAGAGAGAGAGAGAAATCAATTTGTTGTTCCATTTATTTATGCATTCATTGGTTGATTCCTGCATGTGCCCTGACCCGGGATAAAAACCCACAATCTTAGCATATGGGGACAACGCTCTAACCAATTGGCCAGGGCCTAAAAGCTATCTTGTAGGGGAAAATGTTATCTTTAAATTCTAAGTCAGTGAAATGTTCACAATATAAAACACATGAAAATGAGGACCAGGATAAGCAAATCAATCTCTCATTTTAACTTCCATGAACATAGAATAACCAGGTGAAAAGGCAGGTAATTAAACATATTCTCTCTTGTGTGCCCAGTCCCTAACTCCTGTATTACCCTGTGTTTTCTTTTCTACAAAATAATGGTGATAATAAATGGGTGCCGGATTAAATGAGATAACATGTGCAAAAGGAAGATACAAGTAGGTATTAAACAGTGGCAATGTAGATGCTAAAATGCATGTTGATGCCATTGCTTGTCGTTATGCTTCTGGGTAGTTACTGTAAGCTCCAAATCCGATCATGATGCTCTAAATAAAAGTATTCACTGGCTGCTATTATCTTAAAATGAACTCCATCTCCTTAGCCTGGAAGAAAAGGATCCATGTTCCAGGGTCTGGCTTGCTCCAGACCCGACTCAGGGAAGCACACCTGAACATCCACCCACACACACACTCCCTACCTAAGAGAGATGGGAAAAACTTCCTCTGGGTTCTCCAAGTTGCCTGTGCACACACCTACGAGACTGCTCCTGATATCGTACTGTAATTGCTCATCCACCTGTCTCCTTCAACAAATGATGACCTCCAATATAGGAACACACTATTGTTTTTTTTAAATCCTCACCCGAGGACATTTTTTTTTTTTTTTATTTATCTTTAGATAGAGCGAGAGGGGGAGCAGGAGGTGGGGAGGGAGGGAGAGAAAGAGAGAACATCGATGTGAGAGACACATGGAGTGGTTGCCACCCACACGACCCCAACCAGGGCCGGGGACAAACTGCAATCATGGTACGTGCCCTTAGTGGGAACCAAACCCAGGACTCTGGTCTGCGGGCTGACGCTCTAACCACTGAGCCAAACTGACCAGGGCAGCACACACTATTTTTTTTCACCTCTGTATTCCAAAGCTGAAAAATAGTGCCAAGTAGTTATGTGTAAAATATACTGAATAAATGTTGAATAAACACATACTGTTTTCAAAATCTATGGTGAGTTGTGAGGTTCCCATATACTCATATAAGGCAGAAATAAAATAATGCTCACTGTTCTGTGGTTCACTGCTCTCATTTTCATTCCGTGAGTGTAAATGGAAAGTATCTAGAACAGTTGTAGAGTTAAATTTAGATATAGACAATGTAACTCATATTAAAAGGACTAGAACCAAAATGCAAAACTATTAGTATTAAGAGATTATGTTTGAACCAGAATTAGTATGTTTGAGGAAATGAGGGCAGACCGAGTTCAGTGAATCAATGTTCCCAGTGCTTCACAGAAGTACCTCACTTAGCCCCCAATAATGTCAAAATATTAGCTTCCACTTGACACACGAGAACGCTGAATCTACAAGAGATTAAATAACCTGCCCAAGGTAATAGAGCCAATATAGGATGGCAACTGGATTTTTAAAAACAGTATTATTTTTTAAAAATATGTTTTATTGATTTCAGAGAGAGGAAGAGAGAGACAGAAACACCGATTGGCTGCCTCCTGCACACCCCCTACTGGGGACTGAGCCTGCAACCAGGGCCAATCAAACCCTTGACCTCCTGGTGCATGGGTGTACATGGGATGATACTCAACCAATTGAGCCACACTGGCAGGGCAACAACTGGATATTAAAACACAGATCTGTCTGTTTACAAAGGCTATGCTCACAGTATTACTCGTAAGTTTTCTTTTAATATCTCTACTGTACTGTTTAACTGTTTATTATAAAACTTCTGTGTACATAATCATTCAGAATTGTCATTATTTAAATGCAAGTATGTGCAAAAAGAAACAGAGAGAGAAAAACTGATTTACAGGAATGCGTATTTAATGTGACCCTTTTTAGTCTTTCGCTTAGAAAACAGTAGATCTGGAAAGAACAGAGTGGAATGAAGTGAATATGTGGGGAGCAGATGAGATCTAATTAATATAAGACTAGCACTGCTATCTCTGAATTTATAAAGTACTTTCCAGTTTTACAAAATGTTGCAGAAGACATGTATTCTATTCATTATGGAAAAGTAACCTAAAAGAGTTCAAGGTCATGAACATAACTTCATGAGCATCACTTCAATTTATCTTATACACAAAAGGTAACAACAATTTTATCATCAGCAATTACATTACACTGGGTGCCCACCCACATATACACTAATAGTAGAAGCACTGCTTTCAAATTACATGTCCAAACTAATGCATCTTCAATTAAATGTGAGAATCTCTTTGGGAGGATAACTGCATAAGATCCAAATAATTAATGAGCCTCATTTGAAGGGAAAACCCAGCAACTTAATCCACCATGCTAAGTCCCTGTATCAATACGGCGGGATTCACACCGTCAGTGGTTAAGACAGCTGGCAATGTCTGGGAGCCAGGACTCTTCCCCCAAGATCATCGTTGTACCCTCCCCGTCTTACTCTTATTTTCTGGCTGACTCCTGACAAGTCACAACTTCCAGATGTTTCATTTTCCTTAACTGAAAAAAACTAACCATAATTCATGTCTTTTTCCTGTTTCACAGAGCCCTGAGTTGGGGCTCATTATTGAGTTCTGTTTTGATCATATTAAGGTGAGAATGAATATTAGACATTAACGCAGGGGGAGTGCTCACTCATCATAGGAGCCCAAAACCTTCCAGCAAGTCTAATTCTGAAAATAACCTACACAATGGGATAAACAGACTTTCACTCAATGACAGAACTGGCCTTGATAATTAGCGATTATTTCACAGACAACCTAAGAAAGGACAGAGAACCTGTCCAGATGAAACGGCAAATCATCTAGAGAGGTGTTCTCTTCACCTAGATGGTCTGAGGAGCCTACACCTAAAAAGATTACATTATGAAAAAAGAACTGAAAATCCCACAAGACTTTGCAGAGATGGCAACTAAAACTACCTCAAAGCACTGCCGGAGATTTAATAAAGGACCAGAACGCAGGGGAGAGGGAGGTATATTTGATTTCTTCATCAATCTAATTTTTGAATATGTAATGCACTCACATGCTTCAAAAAATAAGCAAGAAGGAAGGAGGAAGAAAAGAACAGTAAAAAACCTCACCCCGCCCTGGCCGGTTTGGCTCAGCGGTTAGAGCGTCGGCCTGCGGTCTGGAGAGACCCGGGTTCGGTTCCCGCTAAGGGCGTGTACCTCGGTTGCAGTTTGTCCCCGGCCCTGGTTGGTCGTGCGGGTGGCAGCCACTCGATGTGTCCCTTCACGTCGATGTTTCTCTCTCTCTCTCTCTCTCTCTCTCTCTCTCTCTCTCTCTCTCTTCCTCTCTCTTCCTCCCACTCTATCTGAACAAAAAATGTCCTCGGGTGAGGATAAAAAGAAAAAGAAAAAAACAAACAAACAAAAAAACCTCACCCCTATGAGGCCCCCTTCCAACTGACCATAAGCCCCCCCCCAAAAGATCATCTTTTTCTTTTTTTATCCTCACCCGAGGACATATTTTTTTTCATTTTTTGTTCAGATAGAGTGGGAGGGAGGGAGAGAGAGAGAGAAACATCGATGTGAAAGGGACACATTGAGTGGCTGCCTCCCACATGACCCAACCAGGGCCAGGGACAAACTGCAACCGAGGTACATGCCCTTAGCGGGAACCGAACCCGGGTCTCTCTGGACCACAGGCCGATGCTCTAACCGCCGAGCCAAAATGGCCAGGGCAGATCATCTTTTTCTTAAAGTTCCTTGTGTATCCTCCCTGAGTTTTTTAATCTAACATATGGAAACATCATTCTATACTATTTTTCTACTACTTTTACCTAAATGCATCTTGCTTTTTATTTATCTTAGAGCTATCTCCCAAAGAATACCTTCCTCATTCTAAGACTGTAAAGTATTCCGTCATAT